TGAGGGGAGATTTCCACTGACTACTCATAAAGCAGAGTTGATCAGATTTACTTATTCATCTAACATTTCCATGTGGGTTACCTATAATGCCAAATCTTTTTTTTCCTTTCAAAAAGTTCTTGCTTTTTTATAATCTAGATAGTTTAAAACATCTTCTGTAACTTTGATGAAGCATTACATTCCTTTTTTAGAAAGTGAAATTGCTGTTCTCAAATGGAAACAAATTTTACATCAAAGAGCTTGAATTCAATGCAGAGGGGAAAAAAGCCAAATATGTAAAGCATTCTAGCAGCTGGCACTGATATTGGCAAAGGCTGTCTCTAAACATGAAAAGTGAAAAGATATGAGGTGGTTTTTAAATAATTCCAGAAATTTCACACCTTCGTTTTAATTATGTGAACATTCAAAGTAAAGTGTATCTTAGCCCAAGTGACATGAAGACCTGACTCAATCCTCCCCTATCTGTGATACTACACACCCTGACGTTTAGAATAACCTAGATAATTGACTGCATTTTTGTTTCTTCATCCAGATGCTTAACAACATGGAGTCAAAACTAAGGCCAGTGAGAATATTTGTAACCTTTTCCAAAGGACAGAGAAAATTGTTCTCAAAATATTTCATGATGGAGAGAGAAAGAACGAGGTTGTGCTAGTCTAATACAATTACAGTGGAAGGTTACTAAAAGGCATAAAGCTGCCTGGATACCCAGAGTCTAGGCAAACTCTTAGAGATGCAGCTAAGATCCTCTTACTTTGATCTGTAATCACTGTGGCTCCCTCTTTGTCAGCAAATATTAGGTCAGTTAGAAGGCCACATTTTGAGAAAAAGATGATTAGATAAATGAAAGAGGTATTAATAATGTCTCTTGAAAAATTGCCTACATTCTCCGGAAAGAAGCAAAATAGAAGGAAGCTGTAGCGGTTTAGCAGTAAACTCTGACTTGATAATTGAAAGAAAAAAAAAACAGACCCTGCGGCAGTGTTGATTCAGTAGGCAATGAGATTCTCAAACCGTTCAGTTTCAACATTTCCCATGACTAACTAACTCACTCTACTGATATTGTGCCTGCGTAAGTGACTGCATAGGAGAAGGACAGAGACGGAGAAGGAGGGGCATGGGAGAGAGAGGTGAAGGAAGGGAGGGGTGGGGATGGGTGGGAAGAGAAAGAGAGGCAGACAGAGAAACAGAAAGAAAATTTTCGTTCAAACAGAAGACCTGCATTTCAGTATGGCAGAGAAAACCAGTTTAGATATTTTCAGGTAGCTCAGGCTTTGGGTTAAGGCTATCTGCTTGTGGTTGGATGTAATTAATAGATATGTCTGGCTCCCAGGCTCACCCTGACAGGGTTGCTATGGGGAAAGGAGGCCTGGAAGGATCCACTCTTCTCCAAATATGGGCTGGCTAGCCAGCCCTTTTCTGCAAGTTGATGGCAGTTTCCAAGATTCCAGTCAACTGAATCAACCATTCCCATTATGCAGGCAGGGCCACCCACCAAAGCGCTACTTTGACCCAAAGTCTTTTTTTTTTTTTTTGGTTGCTAAGCAAACGAGTGCCACAAAGTGACTCCTTCATATGGACAAGATTCTCATAGCTGAGCGGGAACGAGGGACAGACTGTATCTCTTCATTTTTCATAGGGAAACAATGAGATCTCATTGGTAAGGATGAAACAGAACTCTTTGCCAGTGATATAACAGCCAATATAGTTGAGAAAGTGTATCTGATAATAGAGAAGAAAAGAAATAAATTAAAGAAAATGAGACTACCAGCACAGGTAGTCTGAGTAAGAGTTCAAATTAATGCTGGCAGAATGTAAGAAATAGCAGAAACCTGTGTGACAAACCACATCTCTAACAGACTTCCAATAGTCTTTTATGTGAAAATATTTGGGTACATAATTTCCCTGTCAAGCCAGCTATTCAAAATTCTAAACCAAGACTTTTCTGGTGTGTGAATGTAGTTTTCTATTTCCTTTGTGACAAGATATATTTGACAGATGGATTAACTCCATAAGACATTTTATTTGGGCATTTTTTTATTCATTTTTTTTGTTCTCTTACTAACAGGATACAGATTAGGAAACCATGAATAATTGTGACCTCAGCCCCCATTATTTAAAAATATGATCCATGTGATTTCTTTCTGGTTCCATAGGTTAGCAGAAAGGAAACAAACTGGTCTTTTTCATGTGGTTGTTAGTTTGAGGGAAAGTCTTAAATATAACAATTATGTCTCTTAGAAAAACACTTAATCCATGAGCTCTTCAGTCCAGCCACCCAAAAGAAACATGGGGTTAGTTTATTGCTATGCCAAGCACACAAGCTTGTTGAATTTATTTCTTTTGATCTGTCCATCTGAAAGTCTGTCTTACTTAGAAGGCTCCAAGGTGAAGTTTCTTTGATCTCATATGACCATGAAAACCCAGGTTCTCTTTATCTCTGGAAATCTCTTGCAAACAAACTTTTTATAAGGCTTTGTCTACAGGACACTGTCAGAAAAACATGAAAAAGAAGAGCTGTTTAGGCCGCACGAAGATACTTCACATCCATCTATTCAATTGCACTTGTTCAAACAAACAAACAAGTTGTACTAAATGATAAATGCTAATAAGTTTGGCCTAGCACTTCCCCCACACATTTCATCTAGAAAATAACAAGCAATGAATTGATAATGAGCTATGGGATGATTGATTTGCTTGTGCAGAGAATGATCAACCCTCAGAAATAATAATTCATCACCACAAAGCATGCAGGTGTTATATAGTAAAGATGTCTTTTTAAAGAGGACTAGAAGGAGGAAATGCCTATCAAGGATCTTTGATAGAGAAATATGTTTTATGCTTGGCTTGAGAACATCAGTTCATTTAAATTCAAGTGACTTGACTCTCTTAAATATAATTGTATAATTCCTAGAAATTTAAAGACTTAAGACTGTCCACTGGGGAAAAGCCAATACTGCTCTCTTTGAAATCATAGAAATCTTGCCTCCATTCAAGAATGTGAAATAGCTTTGAAATTGATGTGTTCAGTCATTAAGCACGAATACTTGACAAAGCTTCTTTGGTTTCATAGATAGTAAATCCTTGCAACACTGTAAGAAGCCATTTATGAAATTGAGCTATTGATTGTGCTAATCTATACAGCAATTACTAGAGACAGCCTAATGAGTAGGTGCTGCCTGTACAGGGTGCTTAAGAGGCACCATACAGGGCTGCAGACAAAAAGTTTGTTCATTTGGGCCTGAGCATTCTGGTCTGCCCCAGTTCCTTATTAAAATAGCAATCTTCTTGTGTAGGGATACACCCTAAAACATTTTCTATTCATTAATCCATTCATTTTTAAAATAAATATATTGAATTTCTAGTATGCACAATGTACTTTGAGAGGGTTCAAAAATGAATATGATCTGATCCCTACTTTCAAGAACCTTATAACCTTAGGAGAGGAGATATGATATGCATACACATAAGTATGAATTAAATAGAATGGGGAGGGATTAGTTGGCAATTAAGAGGATGAATGAAAACTAGAATAGGCATCTGGTAGGAAGACAGGCTTAGAAAGAGGCATCTCCAAAAAGACGTAAGAGGAAACTGAGAGGAGAGGGAACTAAACACATCTTAATTTTGCACATCATAATTATGTTCTTTAATTTTTCCTTCCTTGAATTAGCCAGAAAGATGTGAGAAGGCAGAAAAGCAGTTAGGCTTTAAGCATGACCAGCTACTCCTAAGGAAGGCTGTGGGGATAGTGAGAGGACTAACCATCCAGTTCAGTTCAGAAAAACATCAGCCTTGAGGGATTACATTACAGACATAAAAATAAGCAGTTTAGGGCTAGAACTCTTATCCTAATCTGTGTTTATTCCTTAACAGTCTAAAAGAGGGAGGCAAAATAGACTGATATGACAAACACATGTAACCTGCAAGAATTGTAAATGAGACCTACGTGCAAACGATGAGTATAGAATTCAGTTTGGAATTGAAAATACATCGGAAATTTACTGTTTTCCATTTCTCTCTTGACAAGACTTTCAATATGTGGGTGTTTGTTATTTAAAGTTCTTCTTTTACAAAACTCTAAAATCTACAGAATTTGGTCAAAGTAAGAAATGTAGGAATTCCTAACAAAACTGACACCACAACTCAATAATACTCCAAAGGAAACTATTGTAATGATAACCAGGAGAATAATAGCCATCAACATCCTTATGCAGATAGATGATGATGATGACGATAATTCATCATTCCAGAAAAGGTTTCTTGACAAGCATTGGCTGCTAAATAAAGTGAAAGATTTTCAAATTTATCTATTTTAGCTATAAGATGTGCATCTTTCTTAAATGTTGTAATATCATCTACATACTTGGAAGTTTCCTACAAACAAATATTTTAGCGAATAGGTCCCTAGGTGGATTGGCTACATTGAGAAGAGCGTTACACAGTTCCTAATCTGCAGTTGTACTGTGTGCATTTTATAGCCAACATCTGGAACGAGCTCCTTCTATCAGAAAAAAATAGAGGTATTAGATAATAATAGTAATTGTTGTTGTATGATTGTTATTATTCCAGGAATCTTTTCATTTATTTCCCTCTTTGAGGAATTAAAGATGTTCTCAAGATTTGTGACCTCTGGCCTCCTAATGTGCAATCATCAGCCCCTGGTCTCACTCACATGAACTAGTATAGATCTTTCATGTACAGCAAACTACCAAATAGGGGAAGAAAAGCACTATGTAACTGGATTTTTAAAAAATATTTGCTTTTGTTTATTAAAAAATATATTGAAAATAAATTCAGGAGGTGGGGAAGGCAAGACCTCAGTGAGAAGCAGTTTGCTTCTGAATAGAAAGCATGCATGCATGCATATAATAGAGATGTTATTAGGAATTTAGGAAATTGCCTATTCTCTGCCTAGGTGTATTCTATCTAAGTTACCTCACTAAGTGCTCCCTGCCCCTTCCTCATTACACTTGTACAATTAATTGTCTAATGGGTAGCCATTTTGTTTCCTTCATATACTCCCATAAAACATCTGCTAAACCTCCTCCCAGACATGAAAACTATTTGGTTGGATTTCACTGCTCCAGTCACCCATAGGCAGTGTTTGTTATTGTTGATCCAGGTTACAACATTTAACAACCTCACCTCCACTGCACAATCTAAGGTACAAAATCTCAGAATGAAATACTCCAGATCCATCTAAAACACCCCATCCCAGCATCCAACACTCCTCTGTTTCCTCATGACCACCTCACTCCTGCCTTCTCACCCACTGCCCAGCCCCACATTTATTCCATCACAACACTAGAGATCACAGCTTTGTGCCTGGGGGCAGGATTCATGGAAGGCTTCAAGGAGGAGGCTGCATTTAAGCTGAGTCCTGAGTAGGCAACAAATAATACAAGCAAAGAGAACAGATAGTTATGTGGTAAAAAATTGTGCTAGGTGTTTTATAAACACCATCTTCATGTTTCTCAACTGTAGTGGTTTTTAAATATGAAAATTTCTGAGCTCAACACTAGCTCTAATGGAAAAGAATCCCCTGAGAGTGGGGTCCAGGAATCTGCATTTTAAGAACATCTCTCAGGAGATTCTGATATACCTCAGGAGTCTATAATATAGACTCTATAAGGTTAGCCTTGCAAATCAAAGTCAAAAAATTTTGCATGCTCTCAGACGTAATGACTCATGATTTCAGTTATGGTGGAAATATATCAATTGGCTCCCACCATTTCTAAGAAAAAGTTGCCTACTCTAATATTTTCCCTGTGTTTTCAAGACATTTTTGAGCAAGACAACTTTATATGCAGTTGAGAAATAAAGGAGTTTGGAAGACTACTGAAAAAAGGAGATGAAAATGAATAGTCTTTCAAAGTAGTGTAATGGGATGGTGAAAACATTTGAAAGACTAGTTTTGGATAGAGAATTTGTAACCTCCTTGATTTCTGAATCAGGACAAATAACATCAACAAAGCCTTCACTGGTTGCACGAATATTACTTTATTTTATTGACTAAAATTCCCATATTTTAAGGAACAAGCCTCATGTTTGTTCCTTAAAATGTAGTTTGGATAGTAATTGGATAGTAATTTAATTTAATGCTCAAGCTTTGATCTGAGTACGAACATTTACATTGCATATTCCCAATTTGTTTTGGAAGGACCTGTGGCAAAATGATATTAAATAGAAATTCACTATATTTACATAGAATTTGAGATAAATGAAAATTAATTGCCCTTTCAGCTAATTCATAGTGGACTCATAAAAACGCTTTTTTATTCTGTAAGGCCCTTCAATATTCAAATTCCTCCAGCACACCATCTGTTCAGTCTTTTGGTGCATCTGCAAGTTCCATCTCAGTGACAGAGAGATTGGAGAGCTGTACAGCTTTAGAATATTTTAAAAAGATTGAAGTATACTACTACTGAAAAGTCTCATGAGGCTTGTTCCTTAAAATATGGGAATTTTAGTCAATAAAATAAAGTAATATTCGTGCAACCAGTGAAGGCTTTGTTGATGTTATTTGTCCTGATTCAGAAATCAAGGAGGTTACTTGTCTTTATCAGACATTCTAGTTGAAATGATTGATATGCCTTACAGACATCACTGTGAATCTCATCGAAGTTTATAAACTATTAATCAAAAAATCCCAGATATGGGTTGCTCTCATGCTCCCATTTGGGGCAAATTCCTTTTTTAATTTTAGATGCCAGTAGAACCTATTTGAAGGAATTTCACCCTTCATATAATAGTTCATTAGATATTCAGGAAACTTTTATAGTTTCAAGTGGAAATGTTCATGTCAGTATTTAGAATCTCTTTTCTTTCCCTCAGAAAAAGGAGAGTACATTTTTTCAAGAATTAAAAATTCTCTCCCGCAAAGGTTTAAATTAATCTGAATCAGAGAAAATTCTAGATTATTAAGAAAATCTATTCTCACGAGCTATCTTATTAAATTAAGAATTGCAAGTTGCAAAATTCCCATAACATTTTCCTCTATGACAACTACAAAATAATTTAATTAGCAACTCATTAAAACCTACTTCATTGTTAAAAGTTCAGTGTTGCAGAACTGACTTATCTATTTATTTACTGATCCTTGATACTCAAACGAAGCTAACATCAAGATTGTGTGACACATGCTTTTCTTTTCTCCTTGGTGACACCAAAGGAAGGCATGCAAATATAACATTCTGGGATTTAAAGGTGATGAGACACTGTGCTTTACACAATACAAAAGGGCGAACTTAGAATCTTCACTGCAGCTTCTACTAATTGTTGACCTAATTTATATCAGTTAGTGAAATGAATAGATGTCAATCTTCTTGATCAATGTGATGAAGAGAACCAGTGTGTTTCAAAGAACACTTCTTACAGGAAGGTCAGTAAATTCTTAAGGGAAAATGTTTGATAGATGCTATTAAGTGTACAAGGCCTGGGTGTATTGCTTATTGACACGTTCTTAAACTAAATGATTTTCACTCATGCTTGAAGGTCAAGGCAGTCACCCTTTGACAAGGCACCAGTGACAAGATCATTTTTGATGAGATGCTGAGCTTTTGGGCAGAAAATTAAGTTTTTCATAAGCTTTCAATAGGTCTGAGGACAGAGGAGTGAGAGAAAACAAAAGGATTGCTAGAGAACTAGAGAGAGAAGCAGTTTCTATATACAGTTGTTTTTCTTCTGGACAATAAAGCAGGAAATGCCTCTCATGGCCACCTAAAGAGGGTAGGGCAGACTCCAGCCTTCCTAATTTGCATATTGAGACATCACGGCAGTAGTACAGAGCATCACGGAGCTCAAACATCTCCCTGGTAGCTGAATGAGGGTTTTCAAAGTGCCCTTGGATCCCAAACAGCTAAAAAGGCTTTTGTGAGCAGATGGCAATTGTGTGATGAAAAGTCTAATTGTATTTGCCTTCTCTAATGGAGAGAGAGCCAGGACAGTCAGGCAGGTCAAGGCATGTGGGCAGGACTAACATATTGTGTGTGAAGAGAAAACTTGGAAAGCTCAGTTGGATAGCTAATGAGACAACTTACAGGCCCCCAAGCTGATTCTGTGTCTGCAAAATGATGAAGGAAAGGCAAGAATTGAAGCACTAACCCAGAAAATTCAGGCCAACGAGCCTCTCGAACACTTCACAGAACACAGGAGCATTGAAACCAGACTGAACTGTGTTCTTGAATCCTAGCTATACCATCTAAAAACTGTGTGACACTAGACAAGCTAACTCACCTCTCTAAGCCTTAGTCTTCTCATATACAAAATGATAATAATCATAACCCTATCATAGATTGCTGTGAGGATTATGTGAAATAATATGAATACAAATAGCACTTAGCATAGTATTTGGTTCAATATAAGAGCTCAATAAATATTGTCAATTCGTTGTAGTAATTGTATAAATGATGAAGGCAAAAGTGCCTGGGGGAGTTTATTATGTTGGGTCCCATAGAAGCAGAGTCTGAGCTAGGGATTATTTGGAATTAAATACCAGTGGCAATTTCAGGGCCACTTCCCACCATGTTTTAGTAGGATCAACAGTGATCCCCAAAGCTGATTATGCACATCTCTTTTTCTCTGTGTTCAGGGATGTTATATTGGTAGCTTAAAATCAGCCATGGGAGTGTGAGTATTTATACCATAGAAATCAGCAAATGCTATAATCAGCTTCCCTCACTCCGCCCCCTCCAGCCAGTTGTTGAACATTTACCAGCACACCATTGTTTGTAACGAAATAAGGGAAAGATTTTTTTGAAATGTGATCGCCACATACGATTTCTAAGGTGGGGTAAAGGCTGAACTGGGAAAGGTCCCAAATGTCTAGAAACAGCCAAGATGTTTCCAGATAATGGCTTTCTTTGTACACAAAAATATTCTTCTATATATCTAATTCATCCATGTTGTCACTTTCCGGCATTTCTGTTTTCTTTACTCACCCTTTCCCAATCCTCTGCTGATAAAGAATCTGGCTCTAGCAATGGACTGAACTGCTACCATAATGTGACTCCAACAATAGACTGGGAAGAGTCAGCAGGACAGATACATAGTTCTGAGTCACTTAGCAACCTGAAGTCATTCAGAGGAGCAATGGAATCATTTACACCACAGTTGATTTCCCCAAAAGGATGCTATTTCCTGACCCAAATAGACAGTTTAAAGTTTGTGGTACTACTTCCCAAAGCAAGTAATCAAATTCACTAGAAATGTTTAAGCCATGCCTAGGATCCTCGTAAATCAGTCCACCTCCCTGTCTTGTGGACAGCATATATAGGAACTGCAAACTGGATCAGACTCAGAATGCAGCAAACTCAGCCCCAAGGACTCCGTTCAGTGCTGAGACACAGTAATTTGAAGAAGTACTGTCTCCCAAATCCCCAATCATCATCTCACCCTTTGGGAAAAACAAAAATGAAGCAAAAGAAAAAAACATTGAAACTTATTTTCCAAATTCACTTATGTTTCTTTAGGGAGTTAAGAGGCATTTTAGAAAAAAAGGTTTGACGTCCCCCTGAAGATACCCGCCCCATCCCACCCCAACTACATGCCAGGCATTCGAAGAGTAAGAAGCCACTGTTGATGGATCGCACCGCCAGGTATCCTAATCTAATATAAAAAACCATAAGAGGCAGCCTTTTCAAGTTCCCCTAAAACTCTGGGAGCAACACATTCTGAGCCCACAAGCAATCTGACATTTGGATTGGCCCTTAGATTCACCCGTGTCATTAGAAAATGGCATCATTATTACATCTTAGAATAATAAATACTGAATATAAAATAACAAGTATAGTGAGGTTATATTTTTAATAATTCATTGGTTAATGATATTTTTAATTATATAAATATAGGCCCATGCTTAAAAAAAAATTCGAGTCATACAAAAAGTTATAATGTTCTCGAATTATTCTCATGGCCAGCCCTTTCCCATTCTGTGGGACTCAGCTTCCCTGTGGCCTCTCAGAGAGGCCTTCCTTTTCTAAAGCAGCCCTTCCTGTTTCTCTTGTTCAT